AGTTTCTTGAACTAGAAATTTTTGTACTAGAAAATTGGTATAGAAAGCAATAAGAAAGCCGCCCCGATTGAAGCCTAAGTCATAACAGTGTATTTGAATGTACCTCATTACATAGTTGTGTGCTCTGATATTTGCATGTAGACCTATGTGTGGTATTCAAACATAAGAATTTGCTAGAAAAATTTTAATTTAAAACATTTATACAATTAATTAAATTAATTGCATACATCCTTCAAAATAATTTAATTAGAAAAAATACATTAAACTAGGTAAATAAATTACATTGAAATATTTAAATAAATTTAATTTGAAAAATACATATAACTAATCAAATTAGTTGTACAAATATTGCAAAATGATTTCAATTAAAAACATACATATAACTAACTGAATAAATTAAATATAAATATCAAAATATCTTTAATTTAAAATATAAATATTACTAATTAAATTAATTGCATACATTAAAAAAAGTTAATTAGAAATACACTTACAACTTACTTAATAAATTACATATAAATATTTAAATGATTTTAATTTTGGACATTAAGAGATATAATTAAATTAATTGCACTGGTACACTAAAATAAATTTAATTATAAAATATGCATAGAAAAATAGGAACATATATCTAACAAATAAATTATAGATCTACTATTACAAACGTTGATCTAAAAAAAACTTATAAAAAATTAAGAATCTAACAAAAAATATTGATCAAATATTAGAGAAAACATAGATCAAACAAAATATAATTTTACCAAAAAAAAAAATCTGACATTACAGAAAATATAGATCTAAGTATCTATGAATATTTAAAAAATTCACATCAAGAATAAAAATTTAAAAAATACACAACAAAAAAAAAAAAAAAAAAAAAAAAAAAAAAACTCTAAAGATAAAATTCCCAATTGAGCCTTTCAGAGATCGAAGATGTGCTATACGTTTAGATTTACAGAGGAATTAATGAAGACTTAGGGGTGGTTTGGTTGCCTGTGAAATGGGTAAATAGTATTGAAAATGCAGTAATTTTGAGATTATTGATATTTAGTTGGAAGCAAAATAAATGCAATCTAAAATTTAGATGTATTTGAAATTCATCATCTAATTCTTTTTTTTTTTGTATATTTGAAATTCCCAAAATTTGGGCGAATTTTAAATACACCGGGAATTCATTGCAATTGCCGCCACCTGACTACCCGCCGCCCGTTGTAGACCACAACTCGCCGCAACAGGCCAACTCCACCGCGAGCTGACCAGCGCTGCTCACAACCGCATGGTTACCCACCTCCACTTGCCAGTCACCACTGCTGGCCGACGGCTGTCGGCCACCACCCTCAACCATTGTTACCAGCTACGACAACAGCCTACCTCATGTGGCCTGCCACCAAGCACCACCGTCGCCACTAATATCAACCACCGACTACTATCTTTTTTGCATTTTACATTGCATTCATTTTGCTTTAAAAAAAAAAAATCTAATGCATTCCTTCGACACTCATTCAAACAACTCCATAATATTTCTTTTACCCAACATTTTTTTAATATTGCATTCTTTTAGGCAACAGCCAATCAGTCTCTTAAGTAAATAATGAAGGAAAAATCAAAACAGAGAAGATAGAAGGAGATAAGTAATTATATACATTATAGTAAAGAAGAAAAATAACATATTAAGTTAAGCGGCTATAGCATAAATATTATTATACTAAGGCATCTTTTAATAATTTTTAGGCATAAAGTTTTTTTGAATTATAAAAAATAATAAGAAAAGTGTCCTAAATGAAGCCGAAGGCTTCGTTTGTAATAACTTTCTTATTGTTTTATAACGCAATTATTAAAAAAATAAAATTTTAAAGTTATAGAAAACATCTTTATAGTATAAATAGTAAAAAAAATGTGGCCATATAGAATTTATTGCAATGATCTTCGATACAAAGTAATAAAAAAGTTATCCTGAAGAAAATCTAGAAAGGATTAGAGTCATTACAGGAAAAGAAATGTGCTGGCAGAGAAGATAATAAATGGCTGATATTCTTGTAGCTGTCGTGAAGTGGCAAACGCCATGAACTGGAAGAGTAGAGGAAGCATGGCTAGCTGGAGTAGAGGACATGTTTTTTACCTCCCCTCAAGTTTAGGGTCCAAAGTTTGGTAGCTATGAAACAGAGTATTTATTTCCCCTCAGGTCCTGATCAATAAATGGAAGGTAATAATTTTTTTTAACTTGGAACTAAAATTATTAGAATTAATTCGAGAGGTTTGTAAGTATGAGAGGAAATTGTGATAAAGTATAATTGATAGAATTGTTTGATTTGTGTTTGGATCCTTGATTTGAAAACTGGCAACATCAAAGGATATAGAATAGTTCTTCCAGCTGTGTGTTTTTAGCATTAAGGTAGGGTTGTCAAATTCGGGTCATGATTCGGGTTCGGGTTCAACCAGGAATTGACCTGATACTATTCAGCTCGACCCGTTTTTGAAAACATGTCAGTTTTTTAGACCCGAACTTGATCCACCAAGTGCCAACCCTGTGCGTGAGTTCGTTGTTGAAGGAGGCATTGCTACCGCCAACTTGACCTGAAGGAATGTCGTTGGAGGTGTTGGCTAGTTCCGCAATTGGCGGCGGCGAGCTGCCAAATGATGGTGGGTGCGAGCTGCCAAATGAACGCGGTAGAGCTTCGGCTTTGTCAATCTTTCACAAACCTACTTCTGCCTCCATAAATCTTCAGCAAAGTTGCTTCTGCCTCCATCAATCGGCTTGTCTGATTTCATCTTATATGTCAAACCAAGGTTTATGGCTTATGGGTCTAAAGCGAGTAATTCTCGGGTTTTCTGGGTCAATTCGAACTCGACTCGGAATTCGAAATGGGTAAAAAATCAAGACCTTAATCCTCATTTCGAATTCGGGTTGACCTTAACTTGACAAAATTGGGTCGGATTTTCAGTCCGTGTCAATTTTTGACACCCCTACATAAAATATATTTTGTGAATGAAGAGGCGGTAAGAGAGAAGCAACTTACAATTGGGCATAGAATGAAACTCGTGGTCCTCGTTGGAGATCAAGGTTTCATTTGGGACGACTTTCTTACTATATCTTAAAATAGCTTTTAGTATAATAGTTTTTGGTTCAAATATTTTTTGTACTAAAACACTATTTTAAAGAGTAGCAAGAAAGTCATCCTAAACTAAACGACTTTCTTCCTACTTTTGAAAGCAGCTTAGTTTCTAGTACAAAAGTTTATAGAATTAGAAAATTTTGTACTACAAAATTGTATTAGAAAACAATAAGAAAGCCGCTTGGAGTAGCAATTTCCAACAAGGACTAATTGGGACTCTTGATATGATGAGGATTACTGTAGAGGATCTCGGTTTGAGGTGAGATGGGTGGATTTGCCTGAGTTAACATACAACTCAGTTGGTGGGGAATGTTGGGCAGCGAACATGGCCTATGGATTGGAGATGGATTAGGGGAGTTGCAGGTGAGATTTGCTTAGCAAGTGACCTCTAGGTGTACACTTTTCTCCAAAATTTAATAGATCATGATTTCGTTTGGGACGGCTTCTTTCTACTTCATAAAGCAGCTTTTAAGTACAAAAATTAAAATTTTTATATTAAAAAGCTGCTTTAAGAAGTAGAAAGAAAGTCATCCAAAACAAAACCTATATGCTGAGTTGTGCTGCAGCATCTGTTATATCAATCCTTTTGTTGAGATTCATTTGGGCCTCGACAACTATTACGAGCTGTAGGAGTTTTAATTTCTATTCCAGTAGATGCAGCAAGAACAAGAAGAAGAATTGCAGTAGTTTAATCTTTGGCATGTTTGGTGGCAGTGTTAACTTCTTCACAACATTAGAGGGAGTAGAGATCGTCTGAGTGATCCGAATAAGCTTTATTAAAATGGAGGTCTCGCATATTTAGGATATAAAAGGTGATGTCTTCAGCATCAATCTGTAAATCTATAGCTGTAATATTGTCCACAGGCGTATTGATTCTAAGAGATAGCGGGTCATGGCGTATAACAGAGTAAGATATTACATTCTATTTCAGTGTATCACTAATAACAACACCACAAATGTTTTTATACTAAGGAGGATTAGAGTTATAGAAATATGATTCTATAGCACATAATCAACGAATGATATTTCCTGTAGCAGTTGTAAAGCAATTGTTGCGATAAAGTGGCAGAGCAGAGGTGGCATAGAAATCTAGAGCAGAGAATGTGGTTTGCTAATGAGTGGCTGGGGGCCAAATTAGGAGAGGGAAGGCAAAATAATAGGAGAGAAGAAAGTGTGCAACATCGGCTAAGGCGACAGGACAAAAATAAATAAGGGAAACGAGCAGGCCCAATTATTTGGTTCGGAATAATTCGGATATCTCTTTGTCTACAGTAAAAACGCATTTATATTTCTTCTAATTCTTTCAAACAAAAAACATATATACTCTTATAGAAATGTCTTTCCAGAGGTGAGTATTGAGTTTCTAAATCCTTTGGATTTCCATGAAAGGCTAAAAAGGTGGTGTTACTGCTATGTTGTTATGGAGGAGTATGGTACTAATGTGCAAATGAATCTATTTGAGCATTCAATTTCCCGCCTTCTCCTCAACCGCTCAAGCGCTGCCCTGCCATCCGCCATTAATATATCTCTCCTTCTCTCTCTCAACCATTCAGAGAAATTTAACAGCGGACTTGCTTTTTTCACTCAATTATAAAAGAAGAGGACGGTGTTATCAGCTCGAGGTCGCCAGCCATGGCTTCTTCTAGTGAACAGTTCCATGTTTTCTTCCTCCTCCTTGTTGCCTCTCAGTGCAGCCTTTTAGCCGTCGCCACCTTTGGCAGGTTTGGGCAAGGACCCTTCGGCCATGGCCCATTTGGCCATGGCCCCCCCTGCCACTTTCACTTCCGCGGTTGTCCAGGAGGGCTGGGTGGGGGAGTGGGTGGCGGTGGCGGATTTGGAGGTGGCGTTGGAGGTGGTGGAGGATTGGGTGGAGGAGTTGGAGGTGGTTTAGGTGGTGGCACTGGAGGAGGATTTGGTGGTGGTGGTGGGGGTGGTGTTGGAGGAGGAGGTGGCGGTGGTGGTGCAGGTGGTGGTGCTGGAGGACTTGGCGGTGGTGGTGGAGCTGGAGGCGGCGGCGGCGGTGGGCTTGGTGGTGGTCATGGTGGAGGATTTGGTGTTGGAGGTGGTGTGGGTGGTGGCACAGGAGGACTAGGTGGCGGTGGTGGTGCGGGAGCTGGTGGTGGAGGTGGTATTGGTGGTGGTCATGGAGGAGGATTCGGTGCTGGTGGTGGTGCAGGTGGTGGTACTGGAGGAATTGACGGTGGTGGCGGGGTTGGAGGTGGTGGCGGCGGTGGGCTTGGTGGTGGTCATGGTGGAGGATTCGGTGTTGGAGGTGGTGTGGGTAGTGGCGCCGGAGGACTAGGTGGCGGTGGTGGTGCGGGAGCTGGTGGTGGAGGCAGTATTGGAGGTGATCATGGTGGAGGGTTTGGAGGTGGGGCAGGGTTTGGAGGCGGCGCAGGAGGAGGTGGTGGTTTAGGTGGCGGCGGCGGCGGTGGCAGTGGTTTAAATGGAGGTGGAGGTGTAGGTGGTGGAGGGGGTGGTGGTTTAGGTGGAGGTAGCGGTGGTGGGCTTGGTGGTGGTGCAGGAGGAGGTGCTAGTGGAGGTGGTGCTGGGGGACCTGGCGGTGGTGCAGGAGGTGTTGGTGGAGGAGGTGGTTTAGGTGGTGGTTCAGGAGGAGCTATTGGTGGAGGCAGTGGTTTAGGGGGCAATGGTGGTACGGGAGGAGGTTGTGATTCAGGTGGTGGTAATGGTGGTGGACTTGAGGGTGGTGCAGGAGGAGGCGGCGGTGTTGGAGGTAGCGGTGGCGGTGGCGGCGGACTTGGTGGAGGAGGCGGAGTCGGTGGAGGCTTGGGACATGGCATAGGAATAGGGGGTGGCAGTGGACACGGCATTGGCGGTGGCGGGGGATTTGGAGTCGGATTCGGGGTTGGAGTTGGGTTTGGTGCCGGAGCCGGAGCCGGCGGAGGTGGTGGCTTCGGTGGCGGTGGGAAACACTGAGTCATCTTTTCTTTTCTTTAGCTAGATCATGTGCATCTTAATCTTTTTTTTGCAATGTTACCTTGTTTGAGCGAGCTGCCAAATCCTCAAGTCGGTTAAAACTTAAAACATAAAATCCTTCTGCGAAGGTAAATTTTTGCAAAATTCAGCTCATGTAATTGCAATGCAAGTCTTCAATAACGTAGTAATAAACCACTGATATTTGTCAGTTCAAAAACACACTTATATTCATTAGGGTTCTCTGTGCACCGAGTGAATGAATTAAATATTAGCATGGCCAGTAGATATGACATATGATTATTGTTGCCATTTTCATCCTGTGTTGTCTGTTTTTTCTTGCTCTTGCACTCATAAAAATTTTCACTTTATTTATTTTCAGTCTGTAAATTTTTTGGCAGAAAGTTCTCTGATTCTTCTGTATAGATTGAAAGGTCGTAAACATCATAAAATATCATAAAGTTATCGTCATCCAGATTTTATTCAGAATAAATTTTTTATTATTATAAAAAATTTAATTAAAATTTTATTTTAAAAAATAAAAAATTTTCATTATTTATACAATTAAATATTTTATTTTCTTATATAAGATATTAAAATATTTTTCAATTCTATATTTTAGTTGATTTTTATAATAATTATAGTAGAAAATTTCTTTCAAATTATATATTATATTCATCTTAAAATTTTTTATTTTTCTTGAGTTAAGAGGGAGCAGTCGGCCGTGCCCCCCTACCCCTAGTCTTTATTATCCAGGCCGTGCCTCCTCTAATGATGTCCTTTATTGCATTTTTTGTCATTTTGTAATTCTGCAACAAAATTCATTTTATTGCAAAATTTGAAATCGATTTTGTAACAAATTCTCAAATGTTATAAATATTTAAATATATTTTATGGGTTCAAATAGTGGTGTCAATATTTGACACGACCCGAAAATATGACTCGAACCAAACCCGAAAATTTTGGGTTCGGGTCAACCCGAACCCGAAACGGGTCGGATTCGGGTTCAACATTTCAATCGGTTTCAAAAATCGGGTCGGGTTCGGGTTAACCCTTTGACCGAAATTGACCTTATTTTGAACCGAAAATCCGATTTTGACCAGACAACCCGAGATTGACCCGTTTTTTACCTGAAAAAGAGGAGACCCGTTTTTGACCCGAAAACTAGCAATTTTTTATAGCAATAAAAAAACAATGATCAAAAGTTGCACAAAATGAAGCCTTAGTCGCAGTCTAAGTCATTTTAGGATGAATATCACCACTACAAGCTATTTGTATTAGGTAGTTGGTTTAGTGAGCTTTTAGAGCAAGTGCTTTGGGACAATGTTAGCTACTTTTAGACATCATAATCGTTTGGCATATGTCATTATTATTAGCCTTATTTGATTGAGTTATTGTTAGTTATATTTAATACAACAAGTTGAAGAAGAATGTTTTAGAGAAGAATGTTTTAGAGAAGAATGTTGACTTTGTGGAGAGATATGATAGGCATTGAATCTTTCATGGTTTAATTAAGACGTAATATCTATTACTTATTTTCATGACACGTGTTTATGTTTCATGAATAAGAATGACATAGCAAATTTCTCTATGAAGTCCAAAGAATATTCACCTTTAGTAGCATTTTGATTGATTAAAAAATTTTAATGAGACATCTAATGAATTTTAAGAGATCTTCATATGAATTTTTCTAATAAAATAGTATGATAATTTGAACTTCACTTTAAAAGATTTGTTGTTTAAGCAAAATAATACTTGTTGCGTCCTGGAGTATTCGCGGCGGTAGAGAAGTATATAGCTTAACGTCTTAGCATTGTACGAAGATCCAGCACATACACAGAAAAAGAGAGGGTGTAGCATTCATAAGAGGCACCATAGTTTTTACGTGGAAAACCCCTGAAAAGGGGGAAAAACCACGGGGTCTGACCCAGTTTGAATGAATCCACTAGTATTTGCAGTCGATTACAAATGAGGCCCTTCCTTGGGAGAAGGCATTGGATTGATGTAGCAAATGTACATCATATAGATTGCATTACATGGTAGGAGTTACATATACATGTTTGTTTGGCCTGAAGGGCCGTAGTCGGCAGGAGACTAGGGTCTGAAAGACTATTGTCTGGTGATGTAGGTCGGACGGACCGTAGTAGGCGACGAAGGACTGAAGGATCGTAGTCGGTAGGAGACTGAGGTCAGAAAGACCGTTGTCTGGTGATGGAGGTCGGATGGACCATAGTAGGCGACAGAGGTCGGGAGAACCGTAGTCGGCAGGAGACCGGGGTCTGAAAGACCGTTGTATGTTGATGGAGGTCGAAAGGACCATAGTAGGCGACAAAGGTCAGAAGGATCGTAGTCGGCAGGAGACCGGGGTCAGAAAGACCGTTGTAGTGAGGCAGTACTATAGTAGAACTCTGGGTGTCAGGTAGTGGCCCAGCAGAAGTCCAGGCCTCAGATGGTGATTTGGCGAAGCAACGGCGTCAGGCGGTAGTCCGACGGAGGAGAGGGCCTCAAGGTGAAGGTGAAGGCCTTTGTCGAAGGTGAGGGCCTCAGGTGAGGGTGAGGGCCTCTGAAGAAGGTGAGGGCCTCAGGTGAAGGTGATGTCCTCGGGCGGTGGTCCGGCGAAGCTCTGTTGGTAGTCCGGCGAGGCTCCGGCGGTAGTCCGGCGAAGTTCCGGCGGTGGTCCGAAAGTCCCGTCGGTGGTCGAGGAGGAGCTTATTCCTTCTCTTCTTGCTTGGACCCCCCATTTGTGCAGAATGAGGACTCTATTTATAGATTTTTTGGAGTGGCATGGCCCGTAAATAGACGTGAGATCAGGGACAAATAGGAATGGACAACCGATGTTGAATCCTACGATCGTGCACCGTTCGTTGGACATTCAAAAACCTTAGAGATTTCAGAATTCGGTGATCTTGGGTTCGTTGGATTCGTCTCATCGAGCCGTTCGATTCGAGTATAAGCTCGTCAAAATCGGATCCGTTTGGTAACTCAAATAGTGGTTTGAACCTTCCAACAGCGCTTCAGATCCATGATTTGGACCCATTTGGGCTTGGATTTGGTCGAACTTGGTGTCGTTGGGTTCGTATTTCCGAGACGCTTAGTTTGACTATAAGCTCGCTGGAATCAAAGTTCACGTGCTCCCGAATTTAATTTTTGAAGTTTATGGTTTGGGTTTTGCCTCGAGATTCGTGCCAAATCAAGATAATTTCATGATGACGTATCAGTTGCCCTCCTATTTTCGGACGTCGAAGCTCCAGGAGTCTGAAAATAATACTAATGCATTAGGATGATCGTTTAACATAAAGAAGCATCTATTCATCCTTCTTAGTTAATTGAATTAGCTTATTTAAGAAACAAGATAGTTAAAAGAAATAATTCCATTTGTTCAATTATTCAATGATATTATTCTAAGCTAATAATGCTAGATTATTAAAAACATATTTGTCGCGTCAAAGAAAATTCGTGACGGTAGAGAAATATAAATTTTAGTGTCCTGACTCTATACGAAGATCCAACACATAAACATATGAAAGATATGGGTGTAACGTTCATATGAGACACCGGAGTTTTTAAGTGGAAACCCTTGAAAAGGGGAAAAAATTATAGAGCTTTATCCAGTTTAAATGAATCTACTAATGTTTTCAATTTTTTGAAGAAATAATTACATTTGTTCACTTATTCACTGATATCATTCTCAGTTAATAATACTTGGTTACTAAAAACATATTAGATGCTCTTCCCAACCTTTTGGTTGATGGAGTAGATAGATTAAGGGATCTTCAATGATGTTTTCAACAATGAAAATGACACTAGGAAAAAAATCCTCAAATGAGGTAATGCTTGAGGATGGATGGTAGTCAAAACACATATGTGCATAATTCTTGAAGGTGATGAGAATATTATATATTTGATAGTATCTGAGATGTTGTAAGGAAACAAAATGTTCTCATACATATCCCAGTGATTGATATGGTTAGTAGTTCTCTTGTACATTTTCATCCAATGAACTTCAATTTCAACAAAATAGGCTCATAAAGAACTTTTGGCATTAAAGGAGCATTATGCATTGCACTCCTAAAATAAATATGCATAGCCCTATCCTTATGAATATGCTAAATTGGTTGAGTAGTAAGACCGTGATGTTTATTTAATGTAACATTGATTATTTTATAATGATTGTTAGTTGTTGATGGATCTGATAATTCCTAAGTAATAAATATATTAACATTGGCTGGTGCACCAATGTGATGCTTACTACAAAAAGTTAATTGATCGACTATGAGACTTAAGTTGTACATTATTATTATTATTATTATTTTCCATTTATCCTTTCTTATGAGAAGTTAATTATCTTTCCCACATAATATGCTAAAGATTTCCATGGGAAAAATTAACTTTCACTCAAGATGTAAATAATACAATAATTGAGCGAGGGAGATAACTACTGAGAAATATTATACTAAAGGGGTTGAGCATTATTACATGAATAAAAAGAATAAATAGAGAGCTATAAGTGAGGTGATCTTATGAGCCACATCTACTACTCATTTAGTCAATAGAAGTATTTCATTATATATGAAAAAGAAAAAAAAAAATATTAGGGTGTATTTCAGGACTAGTTTATTATCAATATCAAATGATTGTACCATTATATTTACATATACACTTGTAAATGTAAGTATAAAGGTTAATATCTTTTGGGAGTCCTGATTACTATTTATAGCTGTGTTTATTCTAAAATGATTAATTTGAGATCTATTTAATTTTACAATAAATTTAATATCACAAGTTGTTTAATAACATTTATTTCATTACAATGAACTCACAATGCTTTCATACCTTCAATGTCATATCAAATTTATATTTAATATTTTTTTTGAGAAGTTTTATAATGACAAGTATTATTTGAGTGGATTTGTGTTCTTAAGAGGATTCATAAGGGAAATTTCACAAAATTATTCTTGAGACCTTGGATATTAGAAATTATTGTGGTTGTGTAACATCTCAATAATAATTAAAATTCAAGTCATGTCCTATCTTGTTATATGTATGGTCAAAATTTCATCTGGTACATGATAGAATTTTGAGGAAAAAGTGTAGAGCAAGAGTTTTAGAGAGTTGAAAATAAATATAAAAAGAATAATTATAATTATATTTTCTCACTTAAGAAAATGCAAATTTGAGCCACCAACATCAAAACAAAGAGAATAGAAAATTTGTGCCCAAAATATTTCATTCAACAATGAAAATTTCATTACACTTTTGCTATCTTTATAGGCAATACAATAATCTTTGGGCTATGCTCATTTCAAACTTGAAGGAGAAAATTTAGAGGGAAAATGTATGAAAAAAAATCAAGTACTTGGAGTTTTTCTAATATGTTTGAATACAACTCAATTTTATACAAAATACATCAATGGGGCTGACCAAAATATGGTCCCAAGGTAGAAAATGAAAATGCAAATAAATAAAAATTACCTTGAAATAAATCTAGGCTTGGGCTTGGTCATAGGCCTTTATTATTGGACGTTTGCTAGTTTGGGCCTTTGCTTTCAACTTGTACTTAGTCCAATGGGCTTATTTGATTTTAATCATTTGATGGCTACATCACCTAGAGATTTGATTTTTGGGTTAGCTTGTAAGAGGATTTAAAGTAAGCCCCAGCAAGGAAATTATACTTTATTTGAGTGGTAATTTTAAATGTTTTTATGATCTTTGCATTTTTTTTTTCAAGAAAATGATGTCTTCCCTCTTCCTTTCTCTCTTAGTTTTATTTTTTATTTTCAATATTGTTAACTATCACACCATTGCCTAATTTACTTTATATTATTATTATTATTATTTTGGAAAATTTTAAGGCAGCGCACGTATCATTGCTAAAATGAGATTACAAGTAAGTAAAATAAAAGAAACCTATAGTCCTGAATCTCACAATTAGAAAACCAAGGACTCAAAATAACAAAACCAAAGAAAATACAATAAAAAATGATGATGAAAAACTGAAGGACCCAGGCGGCGTCTGGTGATAATTGAAAGGGACCAAAACGTACGAGTGTGACTGCACCAGTGCCATGCGATTTCAAATGATTTGTTATGGTCTTTGTATAAGATCTTCTTACGAGATTGATCTTGCGAAGTTGTCAACGTTCTATTGATATAATTTGTGATCACTTGCAATTACATGTAGCCACATTGCTATTTTAATATTATCATTGATATATCATAAAAAAATGCTCATGATCGAGCATGAATCTCGAGGAAAATTCATATCGGAATCTTCCAAAATTAAATTTGGGGCCATCCAAACTCCGATTTTAGCAGTCTTATAACTAAACGTCTCGAAAAGATGAGCCTAATGATTCCTAATTCGACCCAATCCGAGCCCAAATTCATCCAAATCAACGATCCCAAAGTGCATTTAGAAGGTTCAAATCATAACTTGGACAGCCAAATGATTTTCAAATGTGACATGCTTATGATCAAATCGAGCGGCTCGATGTTGCGAATCCAACGAATCAAGATCATCGAATTCTGTCATCATTAAGATACACAAATACTCGATAAACAATCTATGGTCAAGGGAGTCGATATCGGCAGTCCCCGAAACACTCCCAACATGTCTTTGATCTTCTCCATATTTACAATTCATTTCACTCTAAAAAAATTATAAATAGAATTCTCATTCTTCATAGAGATTAAAGGGTGAAAAATTGAACTAATCAATTCCTTGTTTCTATGACCCTTCTAAGTTAGGTTCATTACTGATGAATATGAGGCATTCCTATGCTCAGCTGCTTGAGGATTTCAATGCCTCGGAAAATTCATGCCCAGCAACCTGCACCAACTCAGCTGCATAACTCAAGCATGTTCTTTTAATTCAATTCATCCTTGCTAATTAAGTTATTCTGAAATCTGATTTTCCTGTCCTGCAAATTCTTAGGCTTTTATTCAACTCTTCCACAGCTGCAATCAGACTGGTTCTTAACTCATAGATCAATGAGGATGGTGATGGAAAAAGCTCAAGAGGAAACTTTTGTATCAGATTATGTAGAAATAAAAATAATTGGGATGGATCTCAAAATTCTTAGATCTATTTCGAGCTTATTGTATATTAATTATCATTATATTACACTCACCTCAAAGTAAAGATTCATCCATAAAAATTCTATTTAGAACATCTGATAAATTAATTCTTTTCAAAGGTTGGCCATAACTGTGCTGGAATGAAGAATAATGACAGAAACTTCATATATCTCTACTGGCTAATGAGTAAATATTCTACAGTTCCCACAAGCAACAAGTTATTGATACAGGAGAGATTATTATGTGTGGATGCCAAACACGTCTAGAGACCAATCCAGATGTGCCACATCATCCAATGAACTGTGTATTGGGTGACGTGGCACATCTGGATTTGCCTCCGGACATGTTCGTCGTCCGCACATAATAATTTTCATTGACACAGATGCCAACATAAAAAAAGAAGTGATTAAGGCTTTGTTTGAGATGATTTTTTGTGCTTTAAAAAGCAGTAAGAAAGCTGCACCAAAAGAAGCCTAAGGGGCTGTTTGGTATGCGGATTTAGCCGGATTTGGGCGAAATCCAGCCAAATGACCTAAAATGCAAATCCAAATCTCACGGTAAATGGAATCCGCGGTTGACGGAAAAAGAGCACTTCTTTTATTATAAAATATTATAAATAATAATTAAATAATTAATTAGTATTAATAAAGTTTTGTTATATTTA